TATATAGGTAATGAGTAGAAACTGAAGAAAGAAAAAGTCAGCATGCTGTGAAGAATCAGCAGCAATGATGGCAATATAGGAAGCAGGCCAGAGATCACAAGCCAGAAACACTGAATAAAAACCAGTCTGATGATCCCCTGGGAAACCGGCCACCCATGTCCAGAAAGCAGATCCCACTTTTTTATTTCCTAAAAATATGTGCAAGGAATATGTGCTAACCCACACAGTGGAAATAAGAAGAACAGTTCAAAGATCAGACAAAAGTATGGGAAGGACAAAACTGATAATGGTCAAATGTTATGGATAAATCCAGAAACTCGACCAGGGTGTCAAATTATTTGCTCCACTAATCAAAAAGTGATGCTTTCTTAAGGGTGATTGTTTCTAGGGTCTTTCTAAAATAAAAGTCTCCTTTTTTTGGATCTAAGGCACACAGAATTTTTATTATTTTTGTTTGTTTTTTCATGAAGGACATTCAAGTATCAAATGTGTCAGTGAAATCTCGAAGGAAAAACCAGAAACAGTTCAAAAGCTTATGAACTCATTAGATAAAACATGCTCTACTCAGAACTTCCTCTATTGTGTTTTGAAGCCTGAATCTAGGAATAAAATTAATAAAGCAGCAGCCAATGGAAGAGAAGTATGTGGCTCCCTGAGCTCCTGTTTGAAAAGAAACTTCTGAGACAAAGGCTGGAGCATCCGTTGCGCCACAAGACCCTTTACTACCCTTAACTCCATATTTTCATCCCTTGCTGTAAGTCTCTGGTTTTTGTTTTATTTTCATCTGTTTTCATGTGTATAAAAAAATTTGAGGGTAAGAAGAGAGACCTGAACTCACACCCTAGCAGGGACCTATTACCAAAATCCCCAGCCCATTTAATAAGAGATTAATTAAACCCACTAATTAAATCAAGCTCTGAAGAGAACTGAAAAAAAAAAAAAATCTCAAGTCAGGAGTTTGAGAGCCTCAGAATATTGGAGCTGAAAAGGAAAGGAACTAATCCAATATCCTCATTTTTGAGAGGAAAGTGAGTCCCATAAAAAAGTTTATCAACTCATCCAAACTAACAAAACTAGCTAAACAGCCATAATCTTTTCTTTGTTTAATTCAAAAACTATTTTCAGCAATGCATTTTAAAAATATGTTCTTCCCTACAGAAATTATTTTTAAGGCAAAAACAACATTCACTCAAAGTTTTCTATAAAAATTCATCACTTAAAGTAGAAATAGATGAAATCAGTATAACTAAAGGTATGTTTGATAGAATCACCACTATTTTTAAGGTGGTCCATACCCCAAAAAAGCTTCATAACAGCTGATCAAATGCACTAGATGGTTACTTTTATTTTATTCAATGTCTAAGATTTATTGAATTCTTACTATGCATCAAGCACTAAGTGTTTTTACATGTATTATGTCATTTACAAGAATTAAAAAGGAAGCTTAAAAGCCATAGCTTAAACAATGATAGTTTTATACCGTTAAATTAAGTAAACTAATAAACCATGATTCAGAAAATTCAAAGCAAATAAAGTTCTACAAATATAGTAGTAAAACAAATTCCCAGTTCCTCCTCCTAAACAACCAAGAACTTTCTTCACTTCCCATAAAACAAGACCATCTTCACTACTTCCAGGTCATTAAGTTAGAGACTGGGCTTCAGAAAATCCAGCCGGCTTCTCTCTCTCTGTCTCTGTCTCTCTCTCTCTCTCTCTCTCTCTCTCTCTCACACACACACACACACACACACACACACGAACGCACACACATCTCTTCTGTAAATCCAAAAGTAAGTAAGTACATATACTGATAGGAAATTTACCAGTAAAATAACTTGCCATCTTGTGACACTTCAGTTTTTGAATATTCCAAGATTGGTATTACACAATACAAAAAAAAAAAAAAAAATCAACAAAGCTCCTCTCCCCAATTTTTTTTTTTCCATAGGATTCTGGCATACATGACATTAAAATGCACCTCTTGTTGAAGAAAATCTTATCAGAGCAGAACACTAAAGTACTACTAGCATTATTTTGTTGATGTTTAAAAAATTTTTAGACGATAATAATTCTATGGCAGAACAACTCTCCTTAAAGCTAGATAAGCTGTCATAAGCTAGTGAAACTATTTCATACTCTCAAACCATTTTATATTAGGAAATTTATATTACAAATCTACAGCCTTACATAGATAAGGTATGTATGCATCCATCTTATAAACACTTTATACATTTCACATCTCCTTACAAGGCATAATAGAAACTTCAGATTTTTTAGTGTTTCTTAAAATCAGAAGAGGCAAGTTTAATGGGTTAATATTTTTCAGTCCTTTCTCTAGTACCTTACCCAAAGAAATTTTTAAATGCTTATTTTGGAAGCATGTTTATTATACTTGAATTTTCGTCAAGAATCGTTTGGTGAAGTCAGTTGAAAAGATTTTTTTTTCCAAGTTGTGAATTTTGGGGCAATATATGAAAAGAAAAATTCAGTTTGTCACCAACTGTTTAAAAATTCATTAAGTAGCTCCCTCTCCTGGAAAAAAAAAATATGTAAGTTTCTCTTTAAGCTATAAAACACACACGTGTACCCTTAAAAATATTTTTTTTAAAAATTCACGAAGCAAAAAATATGTATAAACAGAAAACCAAATCTGAGTATCACTTAATCAGTATCAATTAATATCCCAATACCACCATAAAAGCTATAAAGTTTTATAGAAACTTAATACTAAAAACTTACAGTTTGACTAGCTAACAAAAAGTAATGAACATCATGATCTGACTTACTATATAACAACCTTTCTACTTGATCTACAGAATTTTGAGATTCCTTTTACTTTAGTAGCTTGATATCATCGTGAGTCTTTAACTATATTATTCATACTTAACTCACTAGCTTTTACCAAACATCAAGAGTTTCTGTGAAAGAAGTAGCAGCTCTGTGAATATCTCTTATTTTAAAATACATTTTATTCTACTTGCTTGTTCATCAGGTTTAAAAAAAACAACATACCAATATGAATAGTTCTAAAGGCTCCAAATTTATATTTCACAGTATATAATTAGCTGTGAAGTATTAGGACTATTCCTAGGAACTGGGCAGTCTAAACTAAAACAATTTATAAATGTTACAGTCTACAATGCTAATAATACATGTTTCCTCACATACAAAAAACAATCTCTTATCCCATAACCCATCTATCTATTCACCCACTCAGAGCAACTGTATAACTAAGTTTAAAAAACAAAATAAATGAGGTGTTTTTTTAAGTTGTTCATCAGTAAAGATGAAAACAGATAAAGGAAAAGTGTGAGGGAAGTATTAACCAGAAAATAAGATACAAGCACACTTGACTATCTCAACTATAAAGTAAACTGAAAATGCCAAGAGTACTTCGAACTTCAAAAAACTATAAAGGCTACCAGAACGAAGCAGACGTACCCTAGTGTAAATCAAATGCCAAAGTTTCTCAAATTCAGATGTCATAACTATGTTTATAAAAAACTGGACACATAATGTTCTTAAAATATTAGTTCTAATATTCCTTCTTTTGATTACATCAATACTCAGAATTACCTGACAAAAATCTTCCAATGGGCAGCAAGTATTTTAAGGGGAGGAAATGTGTATTAATTACTCACATGGCTCCTTACTGAATTTTTGGGTTCCAGAGAATTTGACAGAGTATTTCAGCAAACTACACTTCTAAAGCTTTGCTAATATAAACGATAAGATTTCTACTTCTTAAATTGAAAAGATAACTTAAATTTTTAATTTTCAATTCAAGTATTATATATCATATATACAGACTCAATCTTAGAGACTGACTAATTTTGGAATTCCTGAATATAGTAAATTTCTTTGAGGGAAGTTAAACTAGTTTTATCCATAGTTCACCGTTAGGAGACATAGCATTATTTATTATGCAATCTACAGTATATTATGTACACCAAAACTACTTGTGATTAATTGTAAGTCATTTTCCCCCTTGTATTTAAATACAGCAAAACGTGCATGGGATAGGAGTTCAGTAACTTTTCCTGCAGTGATCAGGAGGGCTCACAGCCTCACAGTTGTAACCACTGTCCGAGGACACCATACTAAAGCCCGATGGGAATGCGGAGAAACTCAAAGTCACTACTCGAAAGGTAAACAAGAGTTTTTTGTTTTCTTTCTTTTCAGAAAGAAGATTGCATCCTAGTCCCCTAAATGGCACATTACTCAAAATGACGCAATTAGGCGAGATGGGAGAATCTCTCTCCGGGTTTAGGCCTGGGCCTAACACTTCATCTGCCTCCTCCAGCCAGATTACCCGACGAATAGGGCAGGTCACAGGATCAGGGTGAAGACGTCGGTCTTGGCGTTAAGCCCTCCCAGCCCCAAGCCCGACGCTGCCTTACTTTCTCCCGTTTGTCACATTCTAACCCCATTCTTGACCAGGGTCGCTCTCTATGACCTTATCTTCCCCAGTTCAGCTGTCCGAGTGCTTACCAGGTAAACGAGCCAAGAAATAAAACAAAAAAGATTCTGGGGCCGAAGTTAGGCCCGCCACAAGGGACAGGAACGGGACGACCGCACTCGGTGTGAAAGCACTTGGAAGAAGTAAGAAAGGTCCCGGGCCCCTGACCAGACTGCCGCAGACTGCAAGCCCAGGCTCACGGAGACAGACAGGCGGGGAGGAGGGCGGAAGGAAACTCGCAGGAGAGACATTTTGGGAGCGAACGAGACGCACTCCCTCTGGCGTTGAAGGATCGGCAGTCAAACCCGAGATGCGCCAGTGTCTAGGTGACAAAAGCACACTCTCGGGCAGCCGGCTCTCCCTCCACAATCCGGCACAGACCCTGGGATCCCGCCGCGCCACCCCCTTCCCACGTCCGCAGCCGGGCGCCGCCGGGTCGGGTCCCGCCTGGCAGCGAGCCCTGGCGGAGCCACTTCTCCCGGCGCGCGTTCCCACGCGCGACCCCGCCGGCAGGACGCCCCCCGCCCGGCCCTGCCCCTACCTGTAGCACCAGCGGCTCGGGGTTGAAGGCCAGGGTCAGCAGCAGCTGCATGCGCTCCGAGTCCTTGAGGTTGCGGAGCAGGAAGCTGCCCGAGTCCTTGGTCTCGGCGTAGCGGCGCACCAGGCGGTCGAGCAGGCGCTGCGAGGGGCAGTGCACCAGGTCCGACCAGCCCTCCACCGCCTCGGGCGTGAGCAGCCGCACGTCGCCGTTGAGGCGCGCGAACTCGGTCCGCGGCATGGCCTGGAGCAGGTCGCAGC